ACGATTGAACGATCATTGACGGGTCCTTGTGCGTGCTAGTCTTCCATGTTCTCTAGTAAACCCTCCATCAGGATCGTTCGTTTACTTTACTTTTGATTAAAGCCAAGAGTTAACCTCTGGTGGCCATTTGATCAAGATCAAATGCTCATAAACTCGATGGTACACCATGACACCCTAATTCACCCCTAACATGTCCAAACAGGTCTCAAAATTTATCCTGGGCTAGGCCCAATCCTGTTTGCACCCCCAGAATTACTACGCCAACTAAGATTTGTACCCCCATACATTTTGGACTCCAATCATGTTTTAGGCTTAGTCTTTATTATCCAGACCCCCTGTTTACTGACTCAAAATAAAATACACCCACTGTTTATTTATTTAATTTATTTTTCTTTTGGTTTCTTTATTTATTTTATTTTATTTTCTAAATTAGTTTATATTTATTTTTTATAAAAATAATAAAGAATTTTATTTTATTTTTAAATTAAATATATCTATTATAATTAAGCATTTTCTTATAGAAAATATTAATTTATTTTTAATAATTAGTATCATTATTAATCCATTTTATTTGCAAATTATTTTCTAGAACTACTGACCATCTTTAGAAATACTAACTTACTTTTTTCCTAAACTTTTTTTTTATTAATTTGAAATAGTAATTTTTATTTATTTATTCAAATATTTATTTCCACCCCTATTTTCAAATTAAACAAATATTAAAACAGCTAACCCATCAAACTATTTTTTTAGTAACATAACAAAAATTCAAGATTATTTCAAAAAAAGGATTATTAAATTACTTTCAAATCAAAATTTTGAACTGCGTCTACGATCACTCATTTTTCAAACCCATACAAGATTCAATGATCATTCGAAAGCAATTCTACACAATCCTATAAAAAAACTAACCAAACACATACGAACTACGAAATGGACTCTGATTTCTTTCAAGAAGATACGTAGGCACGCAGTTAAAACTAAGGCGAGTCCCATAACTAAAAAGTTAAACCTTTCGCATATACATGATAGTAACATATTTTAAATAGAAAATCTCCATCAAGTCTTAAACCTAAATAGGGGCCCCCTTAAGAACAAGGGAGATAAATGGTGCCTAACACATTTCCTTTATCTAACCAACTCGCGAATCCAATAATCTCTGAAAAATTAGGTTTTTTCCGTTCTTTTCCCATCCTTAGGATAAACAGTAATGACGACGACTCGTATTTTTTGTCGGTTACGACAATGCTATAACACTCATGGTTGATAACATTTCCATTATTAGTCTTGCTAAGAACTCAATTTTACATGGGAGGAGCAAGCATATTGAGATGAGGTTTTACTACTTGAGAGGGCTTGTTATTAAAGGAAAGTTGAGATTGAGATATTGTAGAAGTGAAGACCAAGGGGTTGATTTAATGACCAAGAGAGTCACAATTGAAGTGTTCAAAAGGTTAAAGATAAGCATGAGCATGAAATACTTGGAGCACTTGAATTAAAGTGATCTATTAAGTAAAAAGTGATAATTCAAGTTAACCCGAAAACTGGAAATTAGAAATTCTCGAGGCTGTAACCGGTTATGCATTCATAGTAACTGATTACCAGTGTTATGAAAAATGTTTTTGTTTCAGTTGTAACTGGATACAGATTTTGTGTAACCAGTTACATGTAATTATTTTCTGTTTTTAACCTTTGTTACTTATATCACAATCAACTGACTTGTAAATATATCCAAGGGGTATTGTTATCAATGTTAAGGATTAATTCATCTTTTGGTCCCTTAACTTAATTTACTGTTTCACTTTGGTCCCTTAATTAAAAAGCATTACAATATAGTCCCTTAAAACCGTGTCGTTAGCCTAAGTAGTCCCTTTCGCTAAATTTTCTATAAAAAACCTCTACTATTGCCTATGCGGCAGTATTATTGTCTTTTTAAAATCTGACATGACTTTTTGTTTAGTATTTTTAAATTTTATTAATGCACTTATTTTCATTTTTAATATATTTCACATTCTCTTAATATATTTCACATTTTCTCCACTTATTTACATTTATAATATATTTACATTTCATTCTTTAAAACAAACTCTAGCTGACTCTCTAATGAAACTTGTAGTTAACACCTTCTTTCTTCTCATTCTCTTTCTTTATCTTTATTCTGTTTGTCTGTAACTCTTTCTCTAACTATGTTACTTTTTTTGTCTTTAAACTTTGTGGGTATTTTAAGTTTGAAAATATTAATTTAGTCATTAGTTTCTTTTTTGGTAAGGAAAACTCCATGGTTAAAGGTTGTTGATTTTTTTTAGATCGGGTGGCGATAAAGAAGATTCTTTAAGACAAGAGGTACGATATTTTTGTTGATTTTTGCTAATTGAGTTTTTGTAGATCTGGATTCCAAAAAAATTTGACTTTTTTCAGATTTTCGAGATCTGAATTTTGAAGCATTGTTTCTTTTCATATCAGATATTGCACCACAAGATTTCTTATTCTCAATTTATTTTTGACAAAGCTTAGAGATGTATTGCACAAATGATCTTACTAATTGGTCCACATGTTGTGATTTCAACCATTTTTCTTGGAGAAATCACAACACATAGACCAACTAGTAAGATCATTTGTGAAATACACCTATGTGCTTGGTCAAAACAAATTGAGAATAAAAAATCTTATGATGTAATATATGATATGTAAATAATTGCAGGAAATATGAAGTATATTAAAAATGAAAATAACTGAATTAATAAAATTTAAAAATGCCAAACAAAAAGTCACGTTGGATTTTAAAAAGACAACAATACTTTCACGTAGACAGTAGTTAACGTTTTTTGTAGAAAATTTAACGGAAAAGACTACTTAAGCCAATGACACGATTTTAAGGATTATATTGTAATATTTTTAATCAAGGGACCAAAGTGAAATAATAAATTGATTGAAAGAATCAAAAGATGAATTAAGGCAAACAATTACAAAGCAATTGAATGTTGCAAATGTAAGATCTGCAATGCAAGTGAATGAGAATTTAACGTACCACCCCCAAAATTATACATGGTATCTCCAATTTTTTTTATTTCACTTTTACCCTTTGGTGAGTTGAACATAATTTCTGGTACCACCCAAATTTTCAATACACCCCTACAAAATTTTCAGTACCATAAATTTTTGATAGTGTATATATAATTTCCGGTATACCGGAAATTTCAATTAATTTGAAATTTTCGGTAGTATTAAAAATATGGTTTTTTGAACGGCTGAGATTTTACTGACATATTTTGATGGTTGTGATTGCACCGACACACTTGTGTGGTCTAAAATGCATCATCATTTATATAAATAGGGGCATTTGTTATAGAAAAAAATACATTTAAAAAATGCCTCTTCCTCAATTTCTGGTTAAGGCAGAAGTGTATTACAACGACAACAACCTTCCTGTTGAATTCAAGCTTCCAGATATAAATGAAAATACCGAATATTTTGAAATTTCCAGTACGAAAATATCAGATATATTGAAATTCTCGATAATGCCTTCGAAATTTTATCGCACAAAAATTTGAAAAGTTCGTTTATCTACGAGAATTTGAAATCTGTGATAAATAATTTGAGTCTGGACAATTTAGTCTTTCCACACTCTTTAAGGGATGCCGTGTATAATATAAGGGGTGTCGAGTTAATTTCTGCAAGTGAATGATTTTGGTTAATTTAATGTTCAGATAGTAAGGGATTTGTAGTCCACTCTTAGTTCTATTACGGACCATTTACTTCAGCTTAATTTTTTTTTTTTTATATTTTCAAAAGTAAGTTTTATAAAATTATTTTTTCAAAATATTAAAAAAAATTATATTTATTTATTGTGAATTCAAAAATTAATTTTGATATTCAATAACATAAATATATATTGTTAAAAATTAAAATATAAACGAAATCATAATTTTTTCAAAAAATTATATTTCAAACATAATTTTTATAAAAATTATTTAAAATAGCTTCACGATGAAGTAATTTTTTAAAATTTTAATATTTTTTTGATAAAATGATGAAACACCTAAAAACAACTTTTATTTAAATTTTAATAATGATTAAAAACTCAAAAACGGCAAAACTGAGCCGCTACACTTCTCCCTTGTAAACAAATTGGGGTCGCGCTGAACCCAACTACCCGGCAAGCTCAGGCGGAGTTTTCATCTTCCGTCAGAAATAGTCAGAAACTCCATCCAGGTTTTCCTCTTATTTATTTATTTATTTATTTATTTTGTTCTTAAGGGTTATCCTCCCCCTGTAGCGCGCTTGATTATGCAATTCCACCCTGATTTGCGGCTGTGATAGCCGCCCCTGCAACCAATGATTGAATTGCGTCACCCAAGAGCTCCACTCGACACTACAATTCTGTGATATTGCTAGCTATTCATAATATTGTTTAGGTTACTCGTGATTTTTTAATGGTTTCTTGATTGTCCTTGTGGCAACATATGAAAAACAAGTTACCATCCATTCATTTCAAATTTTAATTAGCAAGGAGCTAAACAAAATTAAGCCTTCATGAATTAGGCGGTGAAGCTTGCATTTATATTTATAGCTAAATATTTGTCTGTATTCTGGTTTTTATTTTTAAAATTTCCTTGTTGGAATTTTATCATATATGCTGTCACAATTTCCATTTTGAAGTATTTATGCATGCCGTTGGAATTTTATTTCTTATATACATTGTTTTTTAGTCTTCACAATAGCGGCAATCCCGCTATACGCTATGCCACTATAGCATTTTGGGAGTCTGGCGTTACGCGCCGCTATCTGAGATTAACAACTTAGGCTCATGTAGGGTATGGTTGAGTTGGGTGGGATTTCCCAAATCATATTCTACCTTTTGGGACTTTATTGTTCTTATATGTTACTTTACCATTAACACCAGTAAATGGCATTCTTGTCTACATGAAAAAGTGATCGGTACAATAAATTTACCAAGGTGTTTTTGTTCATAGGAAATACTGAAAGAGAATCCATTGATAATGAGGGAGCAATCTGAGAACAGGAGTGCCAAGCCAGGCACAAAGGAGAAGAAGAAAAGTGAGTTTGAGTTCTGCAAGGTCTGCAATATAAATTACGACCAAGGTATCCGCCACAAGTACTTTCCTAAACACAAAAAATCCCTTTCCACCTTCCTCTCTCGCTTCCAAAACAAACTCTCCGACGTTCGCTACTTCCTCAAAACGCCTACCTCTCTCAGTCCCCAACTAGCTTCCCGTAATCGCTTCTGGTGTGTTTTCTGTGACCAAGATATCAACGAGCTCGTCACTTCCTTTGCTTGGTATTTAGTTTCTGTTTTCAATTTGTTGAACTATTATATTAGTCCAGGTTTTCTTTAATTAAACTGTAACTTGAAATGAATGTTGTCTTGGTTCTCGAGGCAGTGAAAATGCAATTCGTCACTTAGCAAGTGTGGAACATGTGAATAATTTGAAGCACTTCTTTTGGAAATATGGTGGCGCGATGGATCAGCTGGATGTGTTTAAAGTTTCTGATAATGATATTGCGAAGGTCCAGTATAAAATCTAATATTTGTTTTTTAGGGAATTAAAGAAACTCATGAAGTTTTGTAAAAAAACATTTGTTCATCGTTTGCCATTTCTTTGTGAGTGCAGTGGGAAAAGAGGTGCACGGCCCTTAAAAAAGAAGCTTCATTGCTAAGTGAGGGAAGTCCCGGAGCTGTTTTTAGACCTTCAAGTGATATCCATAATCAATTGAATAACGGAAATACTGATAGTTTTGAAAATATTTATTCCCATTCTATGAAATCATATCCTTCAAATGTTGTTTTGCCTTTACACTGTCACACGAATGAGTATCAGGTATCCTCTTCAGGCCACTCTGGAGTTGGCAATACTGGCCTATTAGATATTGATAACTCTTTACCTTCGGAAGCGTGCTCTAGTGCAAATCCTCTTGCGTTGCAGGATTTTGCAGGTATGCTTGCCTTGTCTATTGGAAATGTCATTTCTTATTGTTTACAACTATAGTTCACCTGTGGGATTTGTTAAAGTTGAAACTTATCTTCCATGTGCTTATGTTGTGTTTCAGTTGGAAGGAGTGGCTATTCTCTCCCATGTAATGGCGGGCAATGGTCAAGTGATGGCTACACGAGCAATAAAGTGGTAAGTTTCTGTGTTGGGGGGAAGAGGGGAAGGTGTTTTAGGTTTTGGCTCTGCTATATGGGAATCTAACTATTTGGGTTTTAGGCTTTCAGCAATTATGGCTGGTGATTTCATTAGTTTGCAAGATCAATGTGTATGAAGTTTTGCCTTAAGTTACCTAAAAATTTCATGACTTGATAGCCAAGGATTGTAGTTTGTTTCTCACAATGGATGCTTGTACATTTTATAATCTTAATTTCTTTCTTAACATTATTCTGATTGTTGCTCCCTTCCTGTTTTGAAACTTATTAATGTATAATTTCAACACTGACAGAGGTATTACTTTTTTGATGAATGTAGCAGCTTCTTGATAATGGTAAAGGGGTCAACGGAGAGAGCAGTCAGCAAGGTGTCCTATTTTTTTTTCCAGTTCTTGTAATTGTATAAATTTGGGGATTTCGTGCCACTATTGAATTTGTCCTTCTATGCAAAATATTTGAAGACTAATATGAATGCAGGAAAAAAAGTTTTTCTGTTGCATTCAGTCACTCATATATAGGTAGCATAGAGGAGGCTATGATTATAGTGGTAATCCAGTGTGTATGATGCATTTTCTACTAAAGAGTTTCTGCATTTTCAGGTATACAGATGCTCACCAGAATCTCTATTGGACCTGCTGAAAATAATGGTGGAAATGTTCATTCTGGAGCACCGCCACCTTGGTTTGAAACAACAGAAGTAGTTCAGATACTTTCTAAGCCTGTTTCAAGACAATTTGTCTCCCATTCAAACAAGTCAGGGAAGCACAAAAAGTTGAATCCTAAACGCGTTGGAGCTGCTTGGGCCGAAAAGAGAAAGATTGAAATGGAGATGGAAAAGAGAGGGGAGATTGTGAGGAACGAATGCGATGCCAACTGGCTTCCTAATTTTGGTAGAGTTTGGCAATCTGGTAGCAGAAGAGAATCAAGAAAAGAATTTGAGAAGGAGAAACAAAAGTTGTTAAATGTTGAAACTCAATCTGAGATGCCAATCAAGATACAACCCTATGTTAGCAAAAGAATGGTGCGTATTACATTCTAAAGATTATTTGTCTGATTTGTTTCATAACTGTTGGCCGAAACCAGTCTGTGTATGGCCTGACTTAAAATGGCCAACATGTTTAAAATGGTGTATCAACCACATGCCGGCAGAACATTTTTTTGAAAGGGGTTTGTCTAACTATCCATGGGCCAACTTACAGAGTCAATAAATTGATATATGTTAGAAACAAACAACTAATATTTTCAAGAACATACTAGTAGATTGGCATGTCTGGCTTGTTTAACGCCTTAATTAACTACAGTTTTTTTACTATGAATTTTAACTTAATTAGTATGTTTTTGGGAATAATTAATGATTTCTATGGATTCTTCATTCATTTTTGGGAAATTATAATGACCTCCCTTAAGGTTTGTTAAAACGTCACTGACATCCCATCTATTTCTTAACTAAAGACATACCTCCCCTACTTGTCTTTTTAGATGACAAACATTTCCCCTCCAATTTAACACTGTTTGTCATCTGTTAAAATGTTCCTCATATACCTCCTTTCCAATTTCAAATTTGCCAAACCCAAATGATTGTGAGGATACAAGAAATAGACATAGGATATAATAATAATAACACTAGTGGATAAGAAAAGCACATCTCAGTCAATAAAGGAAATCCAGTATATAGAGAAAACAAGATGACGAAAAAAGGAAATCCAGGTAGGCCTTCGAGCAGTACGACAAACCATCTGTAGATGAATACAGGAAACACAATAGGTTTTGGGCAGCTTATGTGAAAATTGAAAAGGTATTGTGTCAATTGAAAAGAAATAAAAAATATGTATCAGTAGATTAACGGAATCTAAAGACAGAGGAGGTTTCGGATGTTTGAGAAAATAGAGGGGGGTGTTAGTTGCATTTAAGCAAACCTCAGTGGAGATTGCTGTAATTTCCCTTTTTTTTCTTCTAAAAATTCAACTTAAAACTGCCAAAAGTAGACAGGCATTTGTGACTCGATCTCTCTGTTAGTTGCCTTCTAGAGTGGCTTTATGGAAACTGTACATAATGTCCTATAGCCTTGTCAAGGGTGAATTTGAAAGAAAATCTGCAATGGGCATATGGATTTTCAGAGCTGTAGCTACAATCCAAGTTGTTAGTCAATTATTTAGGCCTTTCCTTCTGCAATGCACTTTAAAGCTGTTTTCAGTCATCAATCTGTAAATATTTAAACATGTTCCTTTTGTTTGTACTTTGCAGCGGATGGATAGTGGCGCTGATCATGCAAGTGGGTGAAATTTGTGTTAGCAAACATGTTGGAGGAATCATCTTTAATGTATATATGCATTTAGCATCTTTCACATTAGAGACTTAACACAATGAAACACGATGCGTTTAGCATATTTTACACTGTGCAGCATTGACCCACCACTTCAACAATGGTTCAGTAACATCAGTATTTGCATTAAGCATTGACTGAGAGATGTTGCTCTACATCAATGATTATGATCATAGAGAATCCATTGTACATTTTGTGATATCCTTTTTATTCTCTAGAAGGTCGTGGAGGTAAAGTTTGCTTATAAAAAACCTGCAACAGGGCCATGACGGTAGATTTATAGCACCCAGTTGATTAAGCACAATTTTTTGAGCAATTACTGAATGTTGGTTTAGTAGTTTCTTAACCCGTTTGATTTGAATGTAGCACAATGTGTCCATAGTAGTGTGCAGTACCTAGCGTTGAGAAATTAAACTGCATTTATATCTCTTTGAAGTTATTCCTTTTCTATAATACTTTTTCTGGGCTTTGCCATGGATCTTGAAGATCGGTTAATTCTAAAAATTTATTCTGGTTTTTGATTGATCATTGAGGGTTACTAGGTAATTTTCAAACTTCAATCCATGTTATTCATGAATTGTTGTTATTTCATTCAGCTTAAAGTTTGCTCAGGAAGGCTTCTGATGGAATTCTTCATTTAATTATAATTATTAATGCCACTTTGATTTTAAAGAGTAGTTATAACTATAGATATTTTTAGAAAAACAACTCGATAAGTTTTTCTGAAAAACTGATTCCCCCCTCCAAAATATGAGAATATTCTGAATATCTTTAACATTAATTTTAGAAGAGATAACGAGTTCTAAACAAATTAAACAATTCCACCATGCAAGTCATTTTTTAATGGGAATCTTCAACAATTCCCATTAATATATCATTCCACTGTGCACTCACTCCTATCCTTATGTCAATGTTTGTTTAATTATATTAAACTTTACGTCTTGTCCTTGTCCATATCTACTATTCTTTTGAAGGCATCTCTATATGGCATAATTATGAGATGATTATTAGTTAGAATTGCTTCACCTACACCTAAATCAGCTCACAGTTATTAAGTTTAATTTAAAAAATCACACCAAAATATGCTTAGAAAATATGCTAACTTAAAATTATCAAAATGAGGCCAAGCCTATGTTGACATTTCATTAAGATTCTATAATGGTCATTTTCCATCAAGAATATATAATTCCCAGAGGGACGTTGCATATCCAATAAACAAATACGGTGATGCTGTTGCCACTCGAAAGCTGCGCCTCAACAATAATCTTCCACTAACAGAATTAAGAATAATAGCTTCAAATATTAATTAAGCTTTAGTTTTTTAGTGTTGAAATTGAAAATACCAATAATTAATAGCAACTCCAAACAACTCCAAACGAATAATCTGGAGAATATTGTATAAACCATGTTTAAGTAAAGAGAAACACCACCATTTCATCATCAACATTCAACACCAATTCAAAACCATTGTTATTGTCTTTCTCTGTGTAATCATAGGATTTACATCTTCAATTCTGTGATCATTACATCATTCCTTTAATCTTCCAAAACCCACTTCTGATTTCACCAGGGTTTTTGAAAAATTAGACCTTTTTTTTGTGGGTCATCTTTCTGTCTTCTACCAAAGATTTTATATGGTATTAGGCACTGAAAAGTAGATATCTTTTTTGATTTTGAAGTGGTGAAGATAAAATAGATTGATATGGGAACAAACAGCCAGGAGCATGAAATTTCAGCAGGAGGATCTGAGGTAAATATTGTCATATATGAGTTGTATTTCAATTTTAACCTCTAAAGTTTCAACAATACTGAAGTTTACACTTTAATCTATGTTAGGTAACATATCAGGAGATGGTAGAACATGAAGTCAGTGACAGTAGGAAAGGTGCAACCCACAAATTAACAGCAGAAAGTTGCAAATCAACCAGCATGGTCATAAAGGTAAATACGATATTCCATCCTTTGCTTTTTTGCTTTTTTGCTTGTAGAGTAGAGATTGTGTTATGTATCATTGAACTGAAGCTGAATAAGTGGTGTGAAAGCAGAAAGGTCATGCAATGATTCCTGCTCACATCATAGCTGAAGCAATATCAACTATCCGCGAAATTGATCTTAGATGGTCCGGTCCAATCACACCAAAAGAAATGGAATATGTTGAACAGTATGTTCTAGCAAAGTATCCAGAATATTCAAGGTTGATTGAAGGAGATGGAAATGGGATAGACATGTCTACCTTTATCATCAATGAGGAGCCTTTAGATGAAAAGGGAAAGTCACCAAGAGGAACTCCTAGTCCTAGAGATTCTTCTGTATATTCATTTGGCAATAGTTTACCTGAATCTGATAGGGCTAAGATCCAATTGGAATCGTCAAGGTTACTTGATATTCTCAACAAGAAATCCTCTTTTCCCGGAAGCTTCATCTCCATCCCAGAAATCCAAGCTCAAAATAAGGTTTTGAAACATTACGGTTTGACAGACGATGAGTACCTTGTTCTCTTCACTCCGGGCTACAAGGATGCTATGATGTTGGTAGGAGAAAGTTACCCTTTTGTTAAGGGAAACTACTACATGACCATTCTTGATCAGGAAGAAGATTATATAAAGGAATTTGCTTTTTTTAAAGAGTCAAAGGTGATCCCAGCACCAAAGACTTGGTTGGATTTGAGGATTAAAGGGTCTCAGCTGAGCCAAAACTTTAGGAGGAGGTGTAAAATCAGCCCCAAAGGGTTATTCACCTATCCAGCAGATGCCAGTGGAACAATGCATTGGATCTCAGAGGCTCATAGGAACCATTGGCATGTGCTACTTGATGCATCTGCCTATGTAGTTGGAAAGGATCGGCTCCATCTCGCACTTCACCGCCCTGATTTTGTGATCTGTAGTCTTGACAACAGTACTAATTCCAACACTCATTCCAATCCTTCAAGAATCACCTGTCTTTTAATAAGAAAGGAGTCCTTTGACACCTCAGCCGCTTCGTCTCAGGTAGTTGAATGAACGTTATTTGGACGAACAGATGAAGTTTGCACTGGAGAAAGGAGAAGCGAGTTTTCCTGGCATACTATGTATAATGAATAAAGTAGTACATACAAATAGAATATACTTATTAGTTACCGGTTTGGATCCATATGTATTCCTAAATCATCTGGGTTGTTTGTACTTTATGTTTAATTGAGGTTTTGGTTTGTCTATTTTAACCAAACCCCATTATTTCTTATTAGATAAATGTTTTCAAGACTTCTTAATTTTATGTCTTTATAAACATCTTAGCGCAATTTGGAAGGTTCATGTTCCCTTATAGCCTGAGCCACAAACATCTCTTATCCTGCTTTTGGTATATGCTCTTTCCTTTTATGCTTAATGTTTTGTTTATGAAGAAGGTGTTGAAGCCAAACATGTCCAATTATGATAACTAAATTGTGCAAATGCTAAAAACTTCTGAAGCTAAAAATCTTATATGCTAAAAGGGAAGTAAAACTAGATTCAATATGTATTCTAAAAGTATCTTTATCTCATTTTCAAAATGAAATGAGATTTTATTCGAATTCTAAGAGTTGAAGAGTTGTTACTGTCAATCACTTCAGCCTCAATCTCACTACTGCAAATAAGATCGGTGCAACAAGAGATATAACGCTCTACAAAGACACATTAACAACAATAACCAAGTCTTATCTTACTAAGTAGAATCGGTTATATGGATCAACTTTCGCCACTCTACAAAGACACATGCCACTAAAAACTACAACAAAATACCATGCTTAACTCACCACATGGAAAACCCAACAACTATGATAGCATTAATTATATCTATTGTACAAAACAGAAACGAAGGAATATCATATCTTATTTTGGACCAAGAAATCAGTAGCTCGTTCTGCCATCACCCTCCGTGATCACATCCTTGAAAGATCCATTACTTGGAATCATTGGCAAGACATGTTCTTGATGAGGTGTAATGACATCAAGAAGATAAGGGCCAGGAGTGTCCAACATTTTCTGAATAGCTTCACGAAGCTCTTCTTTCCTTGTCACACGAGCCGCCGGTATTCCACAAGCATCAGCAAATCCAAGCATGTTAGGGAAAATCTCTTCCTCCCTAGAAGGATCACCAAGATAAGTATGACCTCTATTTGACTTATAGAATCTATCCTCCCATTGAACAACCATACCCAAATGTTGATTATTCAACAACAATATCTTAATTGGAAGATTCTCCACTCTAATAGTAGCCAACTCTTGAACATTCATAATAAAGCTACCATCCCCATCAATATCAACAACGATTGCATCAGGGTTAGCAATAGAAGCACCAATAGCAGCCGGCAATCCAAAACCCATAGCACCAAGTCCACCCGAAGTTAACCACTGCCTAGGTCTCTTGTACTCATAAAACTGAGCAGCCCACATTTGATGTTGTCCAACACCAGTACTAATAATAGCATCTCCATTCGTCAATTCATCAAGCACCTGAATAGCATACTGAGGCGAAATCGCATTCTCAAACGTCTTAAACCCAAGAGGAAACTTCAATTTCTGAACATTCAACTCCTGCCTCCATGCTTCAAAATCAAGTTTCCCCTTATCTCCTTTACTCTCCAAAACCCTATTAAGACCTTCCAATGCCACCTTCATATCAGCACAAATTGACAAATGTGGAATCTTATTCTTCCCAATCTCAGCCGAATCAATATCAATATGAACGATCTTAGCCCTACTCGCAAAAGCTTCTAACTTTCCCGTCACACGATCATCAAACCTAACCCCGAAAGCAAGCAGCAAATCACTACTATCAACAGCATAATTAGCATAAACAGTACCATGCATACCCAACATATGAAGGGAATGTTCACCTCCAATAGGGTAACTACCAAGTCCCATTAAAGTACTAGCAACAGGAATACCGGTTAGCTCAACAAACCGGTTCAATTCCTCACTGGAATTCAAACAACCACCTC